AAACAGTTTTCTAAACTGTCTATGCACCACATAGTGTACGAGTTCATTATTTTGTCGGTTACAGAATTCATTACAATGTATGAGTTGCACACAAAAACTAACACCAATATTGTAATTAATCACATTAAGTACTGTTTGGGGTCCTCTGTATTTTTAAATAAGAAAATGTGTACTTTAACCATTTTTTTTTTATTTGTCAGTTCTTCACACTTAGTGTTGTAACAGGCAAAAACATTGAATTATTCAACATGGTGCAATATATAGACCCCACCGGTAGAGGGCAGTATAAAAACAAGTCGATAATTTTGGGAGTAAACTGTTACAATAATATGAATATTACTGTTCTCTAGAGAAAAATAAAAAATATTCCAACAAATAACACTTATATGGATAATTTAATTTTAACCGCCACTGTACTTTATAATACAGTATCATTGACAATTACAAAAATGAAATAAAATGTTACGAAACTAAAAGAAACTTGATTGTGAACAAGTTTAAATTCCTAATGCATGCCATTCATGCAGGTGGGTGTAGCAAAACCCTCTCAGGATGGCAAGGGGGATAAAAAAAAGAAGGGGAAGTCAAGGACAACACAAGAACGGTCTCAATTACCTGTAGGGGCCCATGTTCCGGGAAGAAGGAACAAAAGTATCACAAAAAAGAAAAAAAGACAGACACATGACACGTTACAATTTTGACATTGGCCACTCCTATTTCCCACTCGGTCATTTGTACTTGATAAAGGAGCGTCATCTTCAAGTTCTGAATTTAAAACAAATGTTTTGATAAAGTTTAAAAGAAAACCAGAAAAAGTCTAACCTTATCAATTGGAATACAAATGTCAAACACAGTTGAATATTTCTCTTTCTTGAAGTTCGGATCGTATTAAACCATTCCAGAAACAGTTTCCTAACAAGATACTTCAGAAATCATACCATCCAAAAAGGTTTAAGCAAAAGAACTAAATGCACTCCTTAGACTGGGTAGAAGAGCATACAGACTCTACATTTTGACTAAAAATACAAGTTTGTATTTCAACGAAAAAGTCAACCATTACTTGTTATACAAGTTTCTCTGTCAATCCAAAAATTAATCATTACTTGTTATACAAGTTTCTCTGTCAATCCAAAAATTAATCATTACTTGTTACACAAGTTTGTATGTCAACTCAAATATCAATCATTACTTGTTACACAAGTTTGTATGTCAACTCAAAAATCAATCATTACTTGTTACACCAGTTTCTATGTCAACCCAAAAAATCAATCATCACTTGTTACACCAGTTTCTATGTCAACCCAAAAATCAATCATTACTTGTTACACAAGTTTGTATGGCAACCCAAAAGTTATTCGTATTGTTCTGTTTAGTTTTGTGGCTCTGTGTAAACATGGAAATGGCAGACAAAATGTTATATTGTGAAAGTTTATTAGCGTTAATAAGATATATTAGTAGGTTTTAATATCCATACAAAAAAAAACGTACAGTTTATTTATTTACAGTACCAATAGTTACATTCCTGTAATTACATACAATGGCACAAAAACAACAAACGTTTGTGTTTTAAAACAATTTCGCAAAGCTACACAGGGGCTATCTGCACGTAGTTGTCCGACCGAATATTATGATTTGACTGTCTGTCTTATAACGCATCCACGGCTCCAAAGTGTAAACTGGATCATCTGAAGTAGAGAAATATGTTGATTGGTCGGAAATGTCGTGAATGAAAAATAATATTCCGATGTAACCATTAACAGCTAACCACACTAAAATGGCTGCTTAACCACGTACAGGCAAGGAACTTTTCTAGTCACGCTTCAATCAGGACTGAGATAGATTCCCCACCGTTTTCTCAGAGAAGATCATATTTTTCTGATGGAACAAATCCATTTTCGCCATGTTTCTGATTTCACTTATCCACATATCTATGCACAATTTCCGGGACACTGAGCTTATCGAAGAACTATCTGTGCTGTAGAATTGAAAGTGTCACGATCAGACCACGTCTGACACCATTCCTCATCAAGCATGCGCTGTCTGTAATGATAACAAAGCTTGTAATGATTGATCATTTCCCCGAATACACACACATACACTATCGGTAGAATGTACCAGACTGAAATAATCACTCGTAGCCTCCTATTGTTCGAGCACCTCAAGGATAGGAAGATTTAAATCTACGTGCGCCACCTTTTGTGAAGTGTAACTAGAGTTATATATTGGACCAAGCGTGACATAGTGCTTAGCGTGCCGCCTGCGAATCCACGAGTCCATGATTCGATTCCCGATACCGTAAAATCGCGCTACGCACTTTGAGGCCAATGGTGCGCTATAAGAATGACGGTCAAATCCTACTATTCGATTAAAGTAGCCAAAGAGTTGGTGATGGGTACTGTTTACTAGTTGTCTTCCCTTGAATCTGTCGAATATCCCAAACATATCCTGTATGTAGTGGCCTTAAACACATTTATACATAAATTGTGTTATGTTACAAAATATCCAAGAAAACCTACATTTCACTACTGAAGTGTTTTAAATTGAAATAATAAAGTTAATTAAATTGCACTGAATTTTGAAAGTGATTCATATCTACTACAAAACAGGATAATAAACCCTTAGAACATAAAAATGTTAAGAAAAAACCCACAACATATGCCAAATTACACATGAGCCTCTCTTAACTTTATGCGGTTAGAAGCCCGAATATTGTTTCATAACGCTAACAGCTTCAACAACTGTTTTAAGTCGTGGTGAGTCTTTTAAAACTCAATAAAAAACGTCTAAATATATCACTGATGTACGTATATGTTCTCAAAGACATTATTTAGTCCCGAGAATCAAACACCACCATCAAATGATACATGTTACCACTAGGGCGCAGCACAGTCATATACAGAAAAAAATAAATGGGAAATTTGCATTCACAACGTGTGACCGAATATTATACACAACGCACTACAATTAAATTTTCACGGTCTAGAAGACGTAAATATAATGTTGCAAGGTTCGTTATTAAGTGTTAAAGATTTTAAATGAAAAATGCAAGTCGTGAAGTTTAAATCTAACATCATATGCGGTGTCCTAATTACGTTTGAAGAACTCGTACTACGTCACGCACACAAGAGCGTCAGCAAACATTCCACATCTGGCGTACCACAGCTGAGGTACAACCTCGAGATGCAATGAATGAACCCCAGAGGGCGCTTTGCTTTGTGTACATTAAGTTGGCTGTGAAAACTGCTGTGCCTCACGTTTTTCTCTCTCTCTCTTCATCCGCTTCAGTGTTACAAAGCTTTGACCACGTTTTAGCTAGTGGCGGTCCATTTTCAATACAAATCAGGTACTCTTATGTAGGTACCCTCATAAAGTCGAAATAAATCACGAGATCTCCCAACACTTGTATAGCCCCTGGTCAATTTTTTAAAACAGGAGGTAAGCCAATAACTAGCGTTAGGTACTCATAATAAGGTTTGACAAATCTATCAGCTTGAAACGCTTGACAGCCGAGTTTAGAGGATACGGAAAGTGATATAATCTTGAGTCGTAAACAAAAACTGAAACAACTCAACATAAGCTTTTTAAACGAACAGAAAAATACCATAAGTACTTAATTCGTTTAATTTTTGTGAATCTTCTAGAAAGTGATATAAACAAATAGTAATTGGATGAATGGTGAAAATTCTTTTTATCGTATTACAAACCGGATATGGTGTAGTTCATAGATGTAGGCGTTCCTACAGAAAACTTTTTGCGAATTGTTTTAGGAAACCTGTGTGTGTGTGTATATATATATGTATATATATAAATGTGGAAAAGAAAAAAACTTCTGTAGTTACCTGATTTTTATCACAAATTTTAGGCCTGTTACTTTTTAACAATTCGCCACATTTGGCATTTAATCCTTAAATTATTATTAATATTGATTTTCATTAAACAAAACACTATATTTGTAGTTTAAATTAAATGTCATTCTCTAAATAAAACACAAGAAATAGAGGAATTATTTTAAAAAATCATATAAAAATGGTGTTATTCTCAAGTTTTTGAATAATTAACCAGGAGTATGTTGAAAACTAACTTTATTAGGATTTCATCTTACGTAAAACACGGAAGAAAGTTTGGATAATACACAATTTTAGTAACATTTTAGAGCCTCCTCCCTACCTATCTCTGCAGCTAAGCGGGCTAAAAACCGCATTTCGATACTTGTAGTAGGCAGAGCACAGATAGCCCATTGTGTAGCTTTGCGTTTAACAACAAACAAACATTTAAAAAAAAGTCACACACTTTCTTTTCCACCATGCTAAGTAGCGCGCGAATCCTGTCTTAAGTTGTAGACACATGTCACAAATGTTTTGTTAGAAGAACGTGTGTTTGGAAAATACTACAGGGTATGTTATAAAAAAAAACAACTAATTTTTAAAGTGAATATATTCATCATTGGGGAACAAAATTTCACCAGAGACGCGTTGAGAATCGTAACTTTTATTCAGGAAGTCTGTATAAAATGTTTCAGAAACTGCCAGAGAAGGTAGGTGTTCAACAAACTTTCAGTCATTCTGAATCCTATCCGTATAAACGAAGTTACTGCAAACATCATCTGTTCTGTACAGATTATCGCAATATCCTGCACACCGATACACATTTAAATCCCTAATCTCGTATTGTTGAAAGTGAATGAGAGAAATAGAAATGAAAATTATGCTAATTTACGAAAAAAAGTAGTCTAAGTATGCCGTATAACATGGTTTTGAGACACTGTACTATTTACAAACTTTCCAGACTGAAACTTGTGATTCACAATGTACCTCTGGCGAAATTTTGTTGTTCTAGGTAGTTTTTAAGATGTAAAAAATTGTAATATTTTTAAATACGAGGTTTTCTTTATAATGACCCTATAAGTCTATATTAAGATTATTTTACGATATCAGTAACAAAATGAGTACTGCAGAGGTTTTATTTTACTTTTTAATCAGCTATTAAAATTAATAACTTACCTTCCACCCATAATTTTTTAACGTCTGTTTGCATACTTGCTGACTTGAGTCCCACGCAGAACGAAGAAAATACCAAAAGTCCCACAAATAACACCTTTCCAGCATTTTTCTGTATAAAACATCCCAGTTGGAACAAGTGTACCTGTAGCTTAGTTCGCAGCCACAAAGCTGCCTTGTTTCCTGAAGCTTTACCCTGGAATAAAAGTAGGGAAATAAATAAACACTAACAATCTAGGTTTAACTTCCAAAATTAAGTAACAACAGTGTAGGCTTAACTACTAAATTAAACAAGAGACTGACTAGGCTTAACTTCTAAAAGTAGCAAGTTTAGGCTAACTTCTAAACCGAACAGCGACAGTTTAGGCTTAACTACTAAATTATATAGCGACTGACTAGGTGTACCTTCTAAAAATGAAAGAGCGAAAGACGAAGAAAACCTGAACGACAAATTTCGGTAAAGCGTTTAAGATAAAGCCTTTAATTTTAAAACATCTACTTTATTTTCAAACGTATTACTCCTGTTTCAAGATTTTGTTGTTGTTGTTTTTTTTCCTTAACATAAATAATTATAAATAAATTAAGCTCTACTAGGGTTCAAAAACTGTATTCAGAAAAAAAGAAGCCAGATTTGTCCTAAATAAATAAAACTACGTTTTAAAATCAAACTAAATTTCAGTAACAATACACTGTATAAAGCACATTCGTTTGTAGTAATCTACATTAAGTGTTGTTAATTTACTTCTACAATTATCAAACTAACTTCGTGTTCGATTATAACTCTCTGCTGATGTTATAAATATACTCAACTAATTCAAATTGGTTTCATTCTCTGAAGTAAGTGATCTGTCAGCGTCAGAATAGTGATGTCTAGTGTTAGTAATAGTGTAATTACTGACGATATTAGAATCTCGGCCGAGTAAACCACACACACACAACACAGCACTCCTTAAACATTTAATGTGAGTCTGATAATCAACAAGAAAAAACACACCAAAACTTCAGCATTAAACAAGACAAGCTACAACGCTTTTAAAACTATTATAATTTTTTAAAATTTCAACCAAAATCGGAGCTTTCTTACTCACGTTCGTAATACACCGGAACTGACTTTGAGCACGAGAATAGGCATTCACGTGTCACAGACTTACAATGGTGTACTTTTAAAGACGTAGAATCTACGAGACTCGCTTATAATTTTGGAGAAAACCTACCTTATTGATCTGAGAGAGTGCTGTTTTTGCATCCGTCCAACTTGTCCTAGTAAGAAGGTCAATATCTGGCTGTCGATGTGTCCTTTTCTGCGGAACAGTCGTTCCCTGTAACGAGTTGAACGTAGGTTTCATTTGGATCATGATGGTACAGAGGCCATGTTGAGCGAGACGCTCGCGGCCTCAGTTTGACGCAAAACACATATACAAAAAACAACAATAACAACACGCACACAATACAATCAAGTTTTTCAGTCTAATTTTAAACTTTCTAACAAACCTCTGCCGGTCTGAAGGCTGGATTAAACCAGCTATCCATATTCTAGGCTTCATAAATTGTGCAGATCAACAGACTTATACACACACACGCATACAAGATACCACGTTGGAAGCCATCGGCCACGGAGTTGAAAACCCTCTACCGACTATTTGCATGGAATGCTCCGCCTCCACTGAGCCCTGACTCAAGATGGATGAGACCCGCGGGGACGCTGCGATTGGCTCGTGGCTTTCTAGCTCCTCTCGTAATAGCGAGCCTTGTATTAGTTGCCAAGCAACGGCTTACTAAAGTATAGAAGACCACACACATCGCGGGGACGCTGTTGAGAATGCGGGAAAACTAGTGAATGTGTACCAGCAGCTATAGCGGGTTCGTTTAAAAACACGCTTTACCATCACAGGAAAATAACACGTAAAACGGCTGAATGGTTGCACCAAGTCACTGTATGTTTGAGATATCTCAAAGCCCCTACACTCTTTTACTCACACGTGACATTTTTGCAACTTTACGTCAACCTAAGAAAGGTATTATTAGTGATAACGATTCGTTAGTGTTTCAACTGTACTTTTATTATTATTATTATTTACTTTAAGATACAAGCAGATGCTTTACAAATAGCCCATAACAAAAATAGAATATGCTGATTTTTTTTCAAACATTCTTCTTAACGCGTGTTACATTTGTGCTACGAACTCTGAAATCTTGAGTTCGTAGGTAGTTATTCAGAATAAAAATGTAGCTTAGTAAATATATACATAATATATTCATCTTGCCCATACCTGCACTAATGTACAGTCGACATCAAAGCAAGCATAATATGACGAACCGAATGAATAACATTATAAAGTTAATTAATTAAAAGAATCAAATACTTAAACAAGATGGTACAACTACTTCAATGCACTTAATTTATTCACATCTTGTCTAAAATCGAGGACATTTGTTTACAGCTCTTAACGAAGTAGCTGGAGCTCTACTCTGATCGAACCGTCGGGCACCCCAGAGGCGGCACACCAAAGAGAGCGCGACTTCCCTTTCTGGGTGGTCTAGCCATTAAATCACGCGGTTCTCCACGTCAGCTTTTGAGCCGAACCATTGTGTGTGGGACTGGTGTATTTTCATGCAAGAAAATAGCTAAAGCTCGAGCTTCAATGACATAGGATTCGAATATTTCTTAATGAGAAAATCCAACGAATTTCCGTAATTCGTAGTTTTACGCATGTGCTAAAGATTCACGTGATTCGTGTTGTTATTCTTTTTTTTACTTTTGTCAAGGCTTCGTAGTAAAGGATGTGCACAGAACTCACGTTGTCAAATATGGTTTTGGCTACAAACACCCAAAATTCTCGAATTCTGGACTCCCTCTCATTAAGTTTTAAACCTGTTTCATTTGCTCAAGAACTTTATGTAAAACCAGATTAAAAGTAATTGTCCGATAACATTGAACCCAGAATTTTAGCTTATAAGTTCATAAACTTGTCGCTGACCCACCAGAGGACAAGTGATAAATAAAGACTTATAACTCTTACCAAATGTATAATTAAAACGGTAAGTGCAGAAAACAACAACAAAACTTTCCAAGTATTTAAATATTTCATATTATTCCTATTATCATATGCTTGAAATGTGTCCTAAATATTTAAAAAAGCTTTAATTTTGAGGTGTTTGTGGTGGGCAATCTAAATTAATTTGCGGGCCATATCTTCAGACCTCAAACACTCTCATAGGCCGAAAAGTCCCCTTTTTTTTCATTAATGAGCAAAAATAATTCATTTGAACATAAAGGTATTAAAATTGTATTAACTCTTTCTCCCTTGACGATTTTCAAAAGTACGGTAACAAAAAACAATAAAAATAAAATAAAATATCAAAGTTTAGGTTTTAATTTCGAGGAATAACCTTAATACACGTCGACCTAGCCTGTTGTCATTATTTACACGAGATTTTAACTGTTGCAAACCGCTCGTGTTGTTACATTCTTTCTAAACCACTTGTATTATTGTGATAAACAGTTATCTCTTCTTTTTTTTTATGCACAGGTTTTCAGGTTGACTCCTAGGGAGTCGCATGCAACCTGTGAGCTGCGGATTGCCAAACGTTGCACTAACGCCTGAAATGTAAAACATGCAACGGTCATACTTTTGGAAGATATTTTCGTTCTTTTGTTGCATCATTCGAACTCGGGATTATCTATAGACAAAATGCCGTGACTATCGACCTTATTTGTTTGGAGTTAAGCACAAAGCTACACAATGGACTATCTGAGCTATGTCCACAACGGGTATCGAAACCAGGATTTCAGCGTTATAAACCGCCAGGCTCTGTAAAAAATATGCAAGCAGACAAAATATGATATCTTTCCGCATGTGTATTATGGTGATCTGATAATTTTAAAAACGTATTCATCTTTTTCTGAAGATACAAATGATTTTCCTAGCTTTCATAGAACTTCGAAGTAGACAAGGAATACTTCATTTAATTACGAATGTTTGTGTTAATGGAAATATGTATATATTCCGTAAAGAATCCTTTAATATTTTTTTTCACTCTTAAAAATGCCTAAGTCATTCATCACCTACAAGAACAATGTCGAGGTTGAGTGGTAATTAACGCTTTCATGCACAAACTTTAAATGCGACCATGCATGCATTCTCACATTTGTGGCCTATGATATGAGATACTTCATATCTCACGTCTCTTTTAAATCCGATATATGTAATGCTCAATAGAACAAAGTCATGAATGGTGCTTTTACACAATAACATTGGGTCCTTAAAATTTCTTGGTAACTCCAGTTAAACTGCAGATTAATAACGTGTAAACACTAAGGAGTTACCATGGCTACCGATTTAAACACATTATATTATCAGCTGAAAACTTAGGCATCGTTGGTTCAAGAATTTTTATAAATATAAAGACGACATTTAAACAAGAGGTGTAAAATATATCGAACAAAACCTGTCAGAACAATAAGATTTCAATCAATTTGTGGAATTCAATCCTATATTGATGAAAAGTTTCTCATAATTTGCTCTCACACACGTAGAGTTTTGCCATACATGAAGCTTTTCATTTTTGGTTTTGTAATCACAAAAAAAATACTGGTATTTATATACTTAGCGCCATCTAGTGAAATAAGTTGTAATATATCTATTTTGAAACATTTGTTTTGAAGCATGTATTGACAATTTATATTCTTATAATAAGCTCAATAAAGGGAAGAAATAAGTCAAGTATATAATATTTATATACTTAGCGCCATCTAGTGAAATAAGTTGTAATATATCTATTTTCAAACATTTGTTTTGAAGCATACGTGTTGACAATTTATATTCTTATAATAAGCTCAATAAAGGGAAGAAATAAGTCAATGCAAATACTGTTCCTTAGTATTTTTAAAAGATGTATTTTTCATGTCTTTATAAATTAAAAAAAAAGTCTTATCGTCTCTATGAATCGGAAACATGACACGCTAGTTGAATTAAATTTTACTGTCAGTTAAAGGACACGGGATAATTTTTTGTACGTTTATAAAATAAAACTGTGTAATACATTTTGTTTGTCGAATTTCGCTACATTTGCTTTATCCGTCACTAATTTGGAAGTGATAGATAAAAAAAAAAAGATATCTATTCAATCCAACCCAACGTCAATTCTCGGGCTACTCCAATCGAATAGTGGAATTTGACTGTCACTTTTATAACACACCCACGTTTGTTTGTTTTTTCCTGTAACATGGTACGAGTAACGGAACCTAAGCCTAACCACTGGGCTGCGATAGGCTTTTTATAATAAACAAAATGTTTATATTAGTCTGCAAACAAAAGACAAAGTAAGGAATGGGGTTTCTTTTAAAAGGCGTCTTGAAAAAACAAAATTATTGGCTAACCCATTAAAATGCATATAATAACTTGCTTTAAATTTATTACTCTTTTAAAAAACAAGGTGACTTGTTAAGTAAACCCAAGTAACATTTTCTTAACTAATGCAAATTTCTACAGCATTGCACGTGCTTTTACAAGTGATGTACAGATCACCGGAAATGTCTTTATTAGCTTCATTAATCTTACATAGTTTTATTTACGTGTGTGTGTTAAAATCTTTGTTTTGTTTTTATGTGCAAAATTTTAGGATTCTCTTGCTCAATCGTCATGCACGCTATACGATGTTCAGTAACACGTGCTGCATTATACATGTATATTAACCACTAAACTTGATACACGTGCTTTTCTCTAGTTGCTTGCTCATTTACAAGTGCAGAATCGGCTTCTCATGGGAACACATAAGCTAGCTTGGTGGGAGAAATGAAATAATGTAGTATCCAACTCCTAAAAAGGCTCGTTTTCCCCTGGGGTCATGCTGTAACAACCGCAGGAGCCAAGAGGTCGCTAGAAATTTACGGAAGGAAGCGATGTAGGTGGTTCGAAGGAAGAACACGAAGAGCATCTTGTATACCTGTAGTGTGTTCCATATGGAATACCTTTTAATGGGGTTCATATACTTTCCAAAATTCCTCCATCCCATCCTGTTCCCTTCCGCCGTTTTAAATTGTAATGCTAAACTTTGTCTCAATTTTATTATAATTTCCCTTCTTTATACTTTCTAAGGTTATTTGATTTTTATCTTGGCAGGTTCTCGGGTAATCACCATCTCTTTCACAAGTTTTATGGTCTTCGTTTCCCGTCTCTTACCATAACCCCATTTATCTTTTTCTCTCTTTCTCTGTGATTTTTTTTTACGTTCTTTACTTACACACGAGTGACTCTTCCATTACATTGTTTTCCTCTTCTAAGCACTATTTTTTTACGTTCTTTACTTACACACGAGTGACTCTTCCATTACATTGTTTTCCTCTTCTAAGCACTATTTTTTTTAGATACACTATTTTCTATACTTTCTATATATAAAATTTTTATTGTTTCGTTTTTGTGTTTTTTTACAATATTCAATTGGCCTTCTTCTAGACAGGACGGCCCTACAGTGGCACATCGGTATATTTGTGGACTTACAATGCTAGAAATCAGGTTTCGATATCCGTGGTGGGCAGAGCACAGGTAGCCCACTGTGTGGCTTTGTGCTTAATTACAACCTAGACAGGACGTGGTCTAATAGTTATAGAGCCTTGACAGTAAATCCGATTGTTCATGGTTCGCGCCCTGTTTCTGTAATTGAAAAAAAAAACAATATAC